TTTACGGAGATCGTTGCGAATACGAAGATATTCGTATTCATATTCAGTTAAATGTGTCTACTGATGTTCCCGTGAATGTCTTAGTATCCGCTGTTCAATACTTAGACTTTACCCTTACGAATTATGATTTAATTCTTCGACAACAAAAAGTATCATTTGGTTTACCACTTGAATGGAACTACTATTATAATGAATTGATTGCACCAGAACTTGGTCTTTTATTAATCTATGATGACAACTATCGACAAAGGAATCCTCGATTCTATTTATTATATATACAAAATGCGAAAGAAAGTATTAATATAACTGTAGAATTGAATGAGCGTAATTATTGCGCACATATTTCAACATGGATAAATCAAATGAGTAAGTTTTCCAACGATAAAGAATACGATATTTTGATCAAAAAGAAAAATATTTTGTATTGATTTGTTATTTAGATGATTCTATACCTTTACTTTTTCAATATCATCAAATTTGCCGTAAAACTTTGAATCGTACAAAAACTATGTGCTTTCGTGATGATATTTATCTTTGTATTTGTGGTGAAGATTTTTATCGTGCTGAATGTTTTGGTTACGATTTATCTAGCGGTGGATGTACTTATTGTTTATCAGATGGTTTCTGTTTAAGTGGTGATGCTGAAGATCAAGTCGATATGATCTGCTTATGTCCACGATGTCATTACGGTGAATCTTGCCAATTTTCAAATGAATTATTGAGTTTTACGTTAGATTCCTTGATCTTAAGTGATGTGTACTACCATCAAACACTCGCTTCTGTTGTTTACATCATCATTGCAACAATCGTGTGTCTCATCGGTTTTTTTAACAATTTATGTAGTCTTTTGACATTCATTCGTTCACAACCTCGTCGTTTTGGTGTGGGTAATTACCTTTTGCTTGTCGCCATTGTTAATCAATGTTCTCTTACATGTCTTCTTCTTAAATTCATTCATATTATTCTATACAGCACTGGCACTCTTGTCAATCATAGCCATGTGAATCTATATATGTGTAAGATAATCTCCTACTTTCTTTCGGTCTCTACTCGAATTACCTATTGGCTTACAAGTCTGGTGACTATTGAACGTGTTTGCATGGCTCTTTTCCTTTCATTTAGTATGACGAAGAAATCAACATTAGCTCTTCGTCTGAGTTTGCTCGTTGGATTAGTGGTGACTAGCATGCATATTCATGAAGCGTTGTATTACAAAACTGTCATTGATCGATCTGCAACATTAAATCAGATTGCCATATGTGTTACAGATTATCGAGGATTTCATTTAAAGGCGTACAATCGTATAAATATTTTCCTACATCATTTCGTTCCTTTTCTAGTTCAATTACTTGCAATCAGTATTCTTATTATTCAAACTACACGTAGTCGTCTACGCGCTACTGAAAATAACAATGACAACAATACATTTCTCGCTATTTTGAAAAAAAAAATTTCAAATGAATAAAGAATATTATTTCACTCCAACAATTATTATTCTCAGTGCTCTACCACAGATAATTTTTTCGTTTGCTTATGGCTGTACTGAGTTGAAAGAAGGATGGAAAAAATATACTCTATTAACAACATATCTCTTATCATATTTACCACAGATATTAGGATTTGTTCTCTATGTTCTACCGTCAAGTGCATATACCAAAGAATTTCAAAAGACACCTATCGGCAAGTTATTAACAAAGAAATCGTAAGAAATTAATGGCAAATTCTATTACGTCTTTACTGTAAAAGTTTTTTTTTCTTATTGGAATGAGATCTGATATATTTCAATAAAATCATAAAACACAATGCTAATTTGTTTTAATTGAGTTTTTTAATGAACGGAGTGTACTTCTGTGAGCGTGTGAGTGAGGGTATACGTATGAATGATGGCAATAGTCACAAATCTGGAGACCTGTCTAGCTCAGTAACAGGTAAAAAAAAATTCATCTAAGATATATTTATTTGGAGAGTTGATATATATGAACAAATGAATGGAGATTCGTTTTTTAATTCACGTTGCTTTTCAAGAAATAATCAAGGTGGAAAGTGCGGGCCAAGTGCCACCAACACTTCAGCATTTTTCCAGTACCTAGTATTATTTTTTGATGTTCGGATGCATCAGCATAAACAGAAACCGAGCAAAGAAATAATGCTATCTTTGCTCAGTAAAATCTGAACGTAAGATTCGATAAACAGATGATGATTATGTACAGAATGAATCATAGTAACTGTAGATTTAAAAAAAACAGTTATATGATTTTTTTATTAATACCAAAATGAGAAACTAAATAACAATATGATCTTCAGTATTTTTTTCAGAGAAGGAATATTATTATTTGATATAATAGAATATATTTGTAGCATGCATTCAAGCGACTGAATATTCCAATAGTCAAATCTTATCGTATAAAATATTCAAAAAAAAAAGATTATAGGAAGTCTCGGCTAATATATTATATCGGTGTATTCATACACAATCTAAGAGTAATCAATATCTTCTATCTACATATTGCGAGTGCCTTGAAATAAGAGAAAAAAAGATTTAAAGTATCATCTTAAATTAGGACCAACTGGATCCCACCATAATTATGATTTTACAAAATCCAAACAACTACGAACAATTAAGTGAAGAAGGTGTAGGTAAAATATTGGGTAAATGTTTAACATCTAGTAAAACGACAGATTTTTTTGCTTCGTCACTAAATAATGTATCTTTTTTATAATAAGAAAGTGGTAGTTCAGTTTGATTGAGTAATTGTGGATTCATTAATAAAAATCCTGAAAAATCATTCGTTGGATTTTTTGTTGTTTTACATGCATTACGAACAATTTAAACCCAAAAATAAATTAATGTTTCATTTATTTATTTTATATATTTATTAGTATTATCAAATAATAATTTTATTGTTTGTTTTCTATTATGAACTTGTAAATAACTCCATATTAATCTTAATAATAATCGATGGTAAATTTTTTCAATAAATTCTTCATTTGAATCTTCATGAGAACCATTTTCTACTTTGACCATTGATGAATTTATTTTCATATTAATATATTAATAAAATGGAGATTTAATTGCATTTATTAGCCATATTTTAATAATATATCTTCTTGTTTCAATCGATATTCTAAATCAATTTTATTCAAATAAATTAATAAAGGTAGTTTTTAAGTACATTTTCACTCAATAAACTCCATAATTCTTCTGTTGCTTCTTCTAATCGAGTACTATCATATAAATCAATAACAAAATAAATACTTGTGTATTTGGAAAATATTGTCGAATTAGAGAATGAATTACAATATGTTCTCCGTTATGTCCTAAAATGTTAAATTAACTATTTTCTTATAATATACAGTTTCTACATTAAAACTAATTGAAGGAATAGTTTCAATAATTTCATGTAATTTGAATTTATAAGCAATCGTTGCTTTACCTAATCGATCAAGACCCATGATTAATATTTTATATTTCTTCTTCAACCAAATATTATTTTTTTGATGTTGTCAAAATGACTGCTTAGCAATTATTTCCACACATCGATATTTAATGGATTACATGAATCCATTATGTTGTTGAAAATTAAATTTTTACGAAATTGTTTGTTACTCTATTACATATCTAACTACAAATTTATATTGTCATATACTTTCATTGCAATTTTCTAAATCATGATTATGATCGACATCTACATGTACTTACGATTATCTAAAAGTACTATTTTTTCTTATGAAATTTTTTTAAAAAATTTCTTTTTTTATGAATAGATAGAGCGTTTTTCACTCAATTTTTGTATACTATTGCATCAAACTTCAACTAATATTTCGATAACATTTGTTTCTTTGTTATATCGTTAGTACCATTGTATTAACAATCAAAATAATACCATCAGATACAGTATAAGAAGTTCTATAACTCCCATAAAATCTCTTATTTTATAGTTTCACTTTTCGCTACCACTAAAAACAAAATTTTGAGCAAGTAAACTGCGACCATAAGGAAAGGATAATTTTTTATACACAACAAACTATTTTTTTGTTATTTTGCTGTTTATGCACTGGATATATTTTGATGGTTTGTTTCGCGTCATATAGAGATATATTCAAATAATACATCGTAGACACTACATATTGATGCATCTCAAAATACAAACAAAAAAAAGATATTATATGTATTGATAACTATTCATGCGTACAAGCACGTGAAACTTTACTTTGCTTAGAAAATGAAAGAAACAAAAAGAAAAACGTGAATCTTTTGTCGACGATAAGGTGAGGGTAAGACTTATATATAAATTCGAAGGTTATTAACGATGAAAAGTGTACGCTTATCTATGAGATTAAGTGTAATGTCTTCTTCGTCGTCAAATTGAAGTTTAACAATATCGAACCATGGTATAGTTTGATATTCGTTTAAATCCTTGCTGAAAATCGATAAAAACAACTCATTTAGATAAAAATATATATTCATTCTATAAATACAAAATCTTTGAATATACCTATAAAAATAATGTATATTATTTATTAATTTGACTACCTCGATTTTTAGTCCATTGTTGCATAGAATTAGAAGAGAGGTCGACTTCTAGATCGTCGATTTCATGATAACGACGAGATAAACATATATTTGAATTTTATTTTGTTTCTGTATATAAAATTCCAGACTACATCATATATAAGATATATTCATTAGATGTATTATATTTCATAGAGATTAAGCATATGTAATAAAAGGAAATTAGAAAATTCAAATATCTCTAACATATACTAAGAAATGAAGAATGAAAAGTGAACTAAGTAAAAACGAGTCGATATATTTTAAATATCTCTTAACGAACGTATGACTGTATAACTTATAAAACTATTATACAAATGAAACACATCACTTTCAAAACCTTCATACAATAGGATGATATAATAATACATCGAATAATTATTTTAGATTTAATACATTTTATATAATAATTTTCCACGAAATGGATGAATCGGTTACTACTTATAAAATGGAATCGCGTGTCAAGCGCAGTAATACATACTGTGAACAAGATGATTCATGTGAACAAGATGGTATGGAGACTGAGAGTGAGAAAGATTTAACAGAAAGTATCAAAGTTAGTTATACAAGAAGAAAATTCATTGGTAAGAGGTGGAGAATACTCTGTTCTGTGACTGACTGTGAGAAAGTAGTTAGCAAACAAGGCTTCTGTTCTCAACATTATGCAGAAAGTGTCGGAATTGCTCGTAAAAATAAAAAATCGAAGCGAAACAAATGGGAACGACACTGCGATATTTACAATTGTGAGTGGCTTGCTGTTAAACATGGTCTATGTAAGAATCATTTAAATGAATACGAAGAATTCTCCGAATCATCGACCGGCCTACCGACAGTGAGACTCAACAGGTGTTCATTACGAAGTTATATAGAACAAAGTATTTTTAATGATCGTAAGTTTTTTTTGCTTATTCAATTTTATCTATTCAAACCTATCGACATTTTTCATATATTAATAGAAGATTCTCAAACAATACCATCTCAACAAAATAGTTCAATAGATTCGATTTCTGCACAATTCGAAACTCCACCGGATAGTAATGTAGTTGTCGACGGATCAGACATTAACAGATCCTCTATGGCCAACGCGTCGACAGGTAAATATATCACAATCGTTTTATATCGATGATCGATTATTTGGGAATATTATTCATTTACATAAATTTTAAACATACAAAAAAATAACTTTATTTTAGACATACGCAATGATGCAGCAAACAGAACTAAAGATAAAGAACATAGTGGAATGAACATGAAAAAATGTCAATATCGAATATCAATCAATGATGATATCACATGTCATAAGTCGGGCACATATCAATGCTCCCATTGTTCATCTGTATTTTGTCTCGAACATGGTTCACTACATCAAGAAGATGTGAAAGAAGAAATCAATTATCTATTAGATGAAACACAGGCTAGTTATGCATATATATACAAAATATCAAACATATTATTCTTTTTCAAAGTTTTAAAAAGAATATTTATTATAAATTATCCTGTTTTTTTTTAAAGCTTTATATAATAGTCTTAGAAAAATAGTTAGAGAAATGTTTCGATGCATCTTCATCAACTCCTATTTTGAAATAGATGTTTCAACATTACAAATATTTCAATCTAGTTAAAACAACTCATCTTTTTCTTCATTATTATAGGAACTTATTACTGAAATACCATCATTAAACATTGATAATGGTAGAAAGAATTGTGAAGAACAATTAAACAATTGGATGCAAACGATGGTTGATAAAATTCAACAAAAATATAAAGAACTTCAGATGGAACTTGATCAACTTCATAGTTATATTGAAACGAATCAAGATCAATGGAAATCATCTTTGAAAGATCGAATGGAAACAAAGGTTCGATCAGTATTAATGGCACAATTGAAATTACATGAAACCGATGGATCAGAATTGACTAAAGCTCGAGATGAACTATTACGTGCACAAAAATTCTATAATTTACTCAATAGTCAAACAATGATTACAGTATCTACTGCCAAAGATAATGAAATTTATTTATTAAGCCCTAGCTTATCTTTTTCCAACGTTATAGTCGATGGATTCACTTCGATTGATAAAATTATACCAAAAACAAATGCTGAAATTATAGAACAATTAAATCAACAGGCAATTGATTTAATGAATAATGAAACAGAGAGTAAGTATTGTTCATGTTAAGAATATATAACTACACTTTATTGAGTATTACCAATTGTGTTTAAATAGCATAATCAAATAGTGCGTGACTAATACTGATGAATCTGCACACAAGTTTCGTTGAATGAGAACAAATCAGATATTTTTCTTTTTCTTCATACTGCACACTTATACACTATAGAGTAATACATTAATTTTGTTTTAGATATTTTTTTGCCAGACCTCGATCCAGTTGCATTTGATCTATTAGTAAGATATTCATTATTTTATATTTTCATTTTCTCTATTGTTTATTTTTATGTAGATGAATACAGAAACAATCGTAGAGAATCAATTTATGGCATCTGATACGTCTTTACCAGTATTATATAATACAAATCAATCCATGAATAATAATACTGAACAGGTTTTCTAAACTATTTTTTCTTATGTACATCTTATCACATGTTTATTATGTTTCTTTTAAGGCTGATTTTTCGTCAATTGAATCAATAATTAACAATGCAAACGAGTAATTATGATCATTGTATTATAAATATAGAATTCTATTTTATTTTATTTTAGTTCCAACAGTCTTTCAACAATTATCCAAAATCAAAGTAAAATATTTCATTTAATATTATTATAAATATACTCTCTATTTTTTTAGGAACAGATTTAATATCATGGTTTTTTCAAGATCATCAGAGTGAGCTCGAAAAAATTATTACAAATCCCGAAAATCGTATGGAATTAAATTTAACTTCAAAAAATCTAACTTGTTCAGATATGGAGATTGTTAGTCAGTATGCTTTGCAAGATAATAAAGTAAGTTCATTAAAGCTTTTATAAGAGAAAAACAGTATCCCCGATCCTACTTTAAACTAATGGGATTTCCGATCTTCCTCAATAAAACTTTCGCCAATTGAATTATGACTTAAATTAACATATGTTCTATGTTAATATTCTTTGGGGGTGGAAGTCCTATTGTCGAAGTTCCGGTAACTTATACTTATCATAGAAATATTCGTGAAATCAATTATATGAGTATATATTCTTTTCATTTTAGACACTTATACAACTTGATCTTTCTCGTAATCAAATTAAAGATATCGGTGCACGTTATTTAAATACTGGATTACAATTAAGTCAAGTTAGTAGAAAAAAAAACATTTATTTTCATATTCATCTTTATTTCTCCTTTTAACATATAGACACTTACTATTCTTGATCTATCTCACAATCAAATTGGAGATGCAGGAATATCAGAGCTAAGTATTGGATTAAAATCAAATGAAGTAACAAAATAATTTTCAGTATCTCTATAAAGATCATTTTTCTTTTATATAGACACTCACAACACTTGATCTTTCTGATAATCAAATCAAAAATGAAGGAGCACAATTTCTAGGTGCTATATTAGAATTAAATACAGTGAATATAGATTATTTTTTTATTTTTTGTTTCGTATTAAATTCATTATTATAGACACTTACTACATTAAACTTATCTAAAAATTGTATTGAATGTCAAGGAGTAATTGATTTAAGTAATGCATTACACTTAAATCACGTAAAAAATATTTTCTTTGCATTTATCTATTTTAAATTATGATTACTATAGACACTTTCATCACTTAATCTTTCTGCAAATCAAACCAAAGATGAAGGAGCACAATATCTAAGTTTTATGTTACAATCAAATAAGGTTAATATATATATTTTTTATTTTTATTTCATATTGAATTCATTATTATAGACACTAACTACATTAAATTTATCTAAAAATGATATTCAAAATAAAGGAGCATATGATTTAAGTTTTGCATTACAAAGAAATCAAGTAAAAGATATTTTCTTTTTTTTTGATTTATTTTAAATTATGATTATTATAGGCACTTTTATCACTTAATCTTTCTGAGAATCAAATTGGAGATCAAGGTGGAGAAGATCTGTGTACTGCATTAAAATTAAATGAAGTAAAAAATTTATTAATTTTATTTCTCCTTATTGATATTTTCTTTTTGATACAGACATTGACAAAACTTGATCTCACTTCAAATACTATCAAAGCTGAAATCTTAAGTGGTATATCATCTGCATTAACATCAAATATGATAAGAAAAATAAATAATGAAAATATGTAATTGTCTTTGTTTTTTTCTCCGATAATATTTTCTTCTATATAATATGTGTGAAATGTAATATTTTATAACAAGTGTCATTCTCTATGAAATATCTTTTTTTTAAATTTTGTTATTAGCGGAAGCATCAGCAAAATCTAGGTGATTGGGTACTGTACTAAAAACTTTGAAAGTTATTTATAATGGTACTCCGTCTTTTTTAATAACTCGTTCGTTTTAATTCTGCGGTGATTGGGCGCGATATTACCTTGATGACGTCACTACTTATTATGGTAAAACATTCATGTCATATGTTTCTATAGACTTTGGTTTACTTTAACAGTTTTTATAGCGAAAGAGTAACAAATGAGAAAGTGCATTGACTGTGGGATATGATGGTATTCTATTTTATGTGTCTGTTGCTGTATAGAGATTGTTTTTGTATAATATGAATAAAAAAAACCGGCGATCAATTATAAAGTTTATTATAACTGATACTAATAAGTCATTGAACTGCCTCGTTTATATAAAATCATATACGATCATTTTTTTGTTTTTAAATATAATTAAAATTAGTAACGGTTCAATATCAGATAAGACTATTTAGCATTGTTTCTTTTTTTTAATAATATTTGACGACTTATCGTAAATAAACTTGCCAATTGTTTTTTTTTTCGTGAATAAGTGAGACGATCTCTTTTCAATTAAAGAGAACGGTTATTTATTTGAAGACACAAAAAGGAAAAAAAACGAAAAAATCTAATACAGAACAAATAAATTTACAGACAAACTAAACAGCAACAATTTCATCTGTTGTTTTAAGTCTTTTAACAGATTCGGAATCTTTTTCATTTTGTTGTGTTGAATTCGTTGTTGTTGTTGTCGTTGTTGTCGATGGTTGACTTGCTAATTTAGCTGCTGATACTAATTTATTTATTATTGGTAATTGAACAGTTGAACCTGATAATGTTAATATTTGTGCCTAGAGAAAAAAAAGTGTAAATAATTTGTTTTTCATTAAATTTTCAAAAAAAATATTATTACTGGTGAAAGTGTATCTTTTTTAACAACTAATGAAATTTTTGATGGCATATTTCGGCGTTCAATGGAAATACTTGATGCTGATCCATTTGATGGATTAACACCACCATCAAATATGGATAATTTATTTTGTAATGTTAACTTTAAAAAAGAAAAGAAAAGAAATTTAATTAGAAAAAAAAGGAAAATATATTTTTTTTATAATTACTTCAGCCATCACAGCAATTGGAGTTTTTTGTATATGTAATGCTATTTTATGTTCAATTAAATAAAACAAATATTCATCATAGAGAAGACGAATTAAATGAAATGAACCAAATGATGCTGCACTACGTAATGTTAAATCTCGTATAACCATTGAACAATAAAATGACCAATTTAAAAGAATTTGTTTAGCTTGTTTTGTATATTTTTCTCCTGATAAATTTGAATATGGTTTAAGTAAATCATTTAATAATAAATCAAGCCATTGTGACCAATCTTCTAATGTTGATTGAGATGATAAATGATTTTTAAATTCTCTTTCAATACGTGTTACTAAATTATCATCACATTCACATATCCACCAAGCTTGTTCCTAAAAACAAATCATATTTATCTTAAAATTAAAAAAAAAAATCTAGTCTATTACTTGAACATTATGAAAATCAACTTTATTTAAATCAGCTAACATTTGATTAACTTGTGTTGAATTAAGAAGAACAGCTCGTGCTGCTTGAGCTAAATGATTTAATGATGTATAACGTCTTAATGTCATAGCAAATGCATTTATAATTGTTAATTTTATTGTTTTTAATCGTTCAGGTAAATGACCTAATGCTGTACGAAGCCAACTATCAACACTTTTACCAAATGTCCGAATGGATTGAGTTGCACTTGCTTAAAAAAAAATTTCATTTAATATTTATATCAAAAATATCATCAACTCTACAATCAGGCGCGTATCAAGGAGGGGGAGGCGCAGCACAAAGTTTTGTTTAAATTTAGCACGAAAAATTTCTTTCCGAAGTAGGAGGGTTACGCCCATGCCCATTTTAAGACTATCGAAAGCTAATGTCAATAATACTAACTTGGCATTGGTGATAAAATATCTGCAATTAATCTTTCAACTAATTGTTGATATAATTGATAATCCGAATTTTTAATGAATTCTTGAATATTATTTAATGAACAAATGGAATGAAATAATGGTATCGGCATTGTTTCTTCTCTTCCTGTTTGTGACCAAAAATTAAACCAAATTTGTTCAACTGAACCAAAATCTAATGTTGTTATAACATCAAATAATTTCTAAACAAAAAAAGAAAGAGATAATCATAAAATTTTTCAAAAAACTTTTTTTATTATTTACAAGACAATGATCTTTATAAACTGTTTCAAAACGTTTAATATCTTCTTGTGTAACACCTTCAGGTAATTGAATATTTGAATCTAATTGAACATTTTCATTTATAATTAATGAATTATTTTCATGAATAAATTGTTTTGTATCTGTTTGTGATAAAGTTGATTCCGATTGTGATGAATATGATTGATCATTAACATTGGGTTTATTTTCTGGTGATGAACCATCATTTGATGTTGACCAACGACGATTTTTAAAATTAGCAAATGCATTATTACCTCGAAATGTTAATCCACCATGTTCATCAGAAAAAGCATTTAATGATGAATTTTGTTTAACACGTATACCATAATAATGATATTTTGAATTTCCTCGTGTACCTAAACGACGAGTACGAAGACCAAGAAAAACTGATCGAATTAATTTTCCAAATGAAGCCGGATTAACAGCTTCTAATTTTTGTTCAGAACAATGTTGTAAATAAAATGAATATAATGTTGAACGACGAAGTGAACAACCTTCAGCTGGTTCAAAATTATCAACTAACCATTGAACCTTTTAAAACAAAAACAAAGTTAACATGAAGTGTTAAAATGGATATTAACAGAAAAAAAAAGAACTTTATTATTCTTGTATATATACATATATTATTTATGTTATCATGCCTCGAGGAATTCAAGTCTCAATTATTCATGCATTGTTTGCATAAGGTAAAATGTGTTTAAAGACACGTTGATTAGTCAGAAATAGAATAAAATGATTTGCATTCAATAGGCAACTTTTTGGAATAATGTATATTTTAATCGAAGTAGAGTGTAATATGATTAGTCTTGAAATATTTACCCTTTCTTTTTAAATATAATACCATTTGAGTGATACTATACATTGCTGCAGCGAGAGAACAAGTACACACCTTTTATCGTATATGTAGGGATTTTTTTTTCAGCATTTCTAGATAGGTGGAGTCGAATAATTAAAAACATATGGGTTTATTGTGGGTAATTCGTTCTTTATATATAGAATAGTTCGAATGACTACTTCGCATCATCGATATTAATAGCAATTCGACTGAATTGAGAAAAATTAAAAAAAATTTCTAACGAAAGACAACTTAGTAAATCGAATGATTTCCCAAAGGTAAATTAAAATGCTTTAATCTTACGGTTGCTGGTGATGCTCGTGTTGTATGTGTTAATGGTTGTGAACCACTTTCTAATGATGGAACAAAATATCCACCTGTACATGATAATATATGATGAGAAAAGCCATCTGATGATGCACCCTATGAGAAAAAAAACATAATAAGTGAATTTAAAAAAAACATTTTTTTTTTCTTCTCGTTACTGATGATTGTGGTTGAAAAAATGAGTTTGTTCCTGTATAAAGTGTACCATCACTTGAATTGAATTGAAATTGTCTTTACGAAAGAAAAAAAAATTATTGAAAAAAAAAATATATGTATTTAACTTACACAGGACCAGAAATATTATTTGAATTTTGATTTATTTGAGAATTTTGATTTGGTGGATGTGCTTTTGCAATAATAACTCTTCCTGTTGTTTGATTTCCATTGGTTTCTCCACTAGATGGATTTGTTGTAGCAACTAAATATTGTTGTCCCTGTTGACCATTTAAACGTGATTCATTCTATAATATAAAAAAAAGAAATTTTTTCTAGAAAGTTTGCTACAAAAAAAATCAATTGAAGTTTTTTACTCGTATTGGAAGCGTTGTTGATGATGCCATATGTTTGAAACTTAAAAGATAAAAACAATTGATTATCCATATTGGATAAATGACTTCTTCCTTGTATTTTCTTCTCCGGAATTTTTTTTTTATTTAAAGAAAATGTCAAAAATATAAAACTTTGTTTTCTTTAAGAAACTTTCGTTATGGTAACACACTTTTTTTTCTTTATTTTTTACTGACCTGACGACGGTTACTTGACAAGAATACGAAAGATCTCGATGACTACCGTTACTTTAGTCAGTGCAATAAGAGAAAAAGAATGACACCAAGCAACGGTCGTCCAAGTATTCTGTTACCTAGGGGTCACATTCATATCATAGACAAACATATATCTTTATGGTGCATACTTTTATTATATCTATGCATTAAGATTATTTATTATAGATGTCGTTACATATTAGTTAAGGAAAACATTTTTCAAACAGTCATTTATTAAGAAATTATTTGGATCAAATTCTTCTCGTTTTTCTTTAAATAAATTCCATTTCGGATAAAGTTGAGCAAAATCTTCATTTTTTAATGGATGTTCTTTAGCCCAATGTGGTCTTCCATTATATTTATGACAAATATGTTCAAATGCTTGAAAAAATGATCGATGTTGATAATGAATTTTTCCATAGGGTCTATAAGCAACGGTATTTATCCAACATGTTTTACGTCCATAAGCTGGTGATAAATAGGATAAATCTTCGTCTTTACTAAAACGTATTTCAATTGGAAAATGAACATTTTTATATTGTTCCATCGATTGTTCTAATTCAGTAAGACATGAAACAGCTTGATCTAATGGTATAGCCCATTCACTTGCATATTGACGAAATAAACAATCAAAATTAAATAATTTATCACAACGATCAATTTTATGAAGAGTTTTTCCTTCTAATTTAGCATACATTCTATTTATACGTCGAACTAAACTTGGAAAATATAATGAAAAATAAAATAATAATTCTAAAAGATGATGACCTAGAAAAGATAAAAATGTAAAAAAAAATTTTTTTTTTTTTTTAGAAAATAATATTACCAATTAATGAATTACTAAACCAAGAAATAATTCTTGAAAAAATTGATTTTTTATTATTAGTAATTAATCTTGGATTCACTCGATTTAAATGATAAGCAATACCGGAATTTGTATGTGGATACCACATATAACGAAAATGATCTGATGATGCATAATGAATAGATAATGTATTTAAAAATGTATGAAATTCTAATGGTTTTTGATTTAATTCTAAATAAAATAATGGTGAAACTTGTAATCGAACACTTATTATGATTCCAAATGTTCCTAAAGAACATGTTAAACAACGAAATAAATCTTCATCATCATCTAAATAATATTCTTTTATATCTCCATTTAATTTCATTAAAGTTATCGAACGAACATAAGATGATATTGAACCATATTTAATTCCTTGAAGAAAGAAAAAAAAATCAAAATATTTTAATTGAGAATAAAATGAATTATAAACCTGATCCATGAGTAGCTGTAGAAATAACGCCACCTATAGTTAATTCATTGACAGAACCTTGAACTGTTAATGAAAGATTATGTTGTGGAAGAATTTCATTAAGTGTACGTATTAATACACCACTTTCACAATGTATTTCATGATTGATTTCATCAATTTCAAGAATTTTATTAAAATATTTCATTGATATTAAAACTTCATTTGACATTGAAAGTGATGATGGTGAATGTCCACAGCCAATAACACGAACTTTTGATTTGGTTTCATTGATTTCATTTAATAATGTTCGAAGAGAATCAATGGATTTTGGTTCAACATATAGACGAGGTCGACAATAAAATGTTCGAGCCCAATTCCAATGTACACTCATCTCCTATTTTGTTTTTTTCTCAATGTACTTATTTATTTATAACCTTTTCCGTAGATAATCAAAGGGTAAGATAAGTAGACCAATCGTTTACTAATATTACGTTTTAGAATATCCAACGGTTTTATATCAAACACGTTTATCGATTTCAAAAGTATAAAATTAATCTGTAGATGTCAGAAGATATTTATTATTTTAAATAACATTTTTAAATTTACATTTCGAACAAATATTTATTGAAAGACGTTCTAATCGTTTATCTAAATCTTCAAGTGTTTTATTTAATTTTGATAAATCTTCACGACTTTCTAATAATTTTGACCAAATACATGATGTTATTTCTGAATCTATAAACAAATTTAATTCATTCATTTTTATTTTGTTTCGTATAAAAATATCGAACTTGTTGATATTGATGAATAACAACTTTTTTTTGATTCATCATCTTTCTATTAAATAAAAAAAAGTCAATAATATTTTTTTTGTATGAAATTTAAATTAAACAAACTAAATATTCATGTGCAGGTATTGGAGGATATTTTTCAATTAATTCTGCTAAACATTTATTAAAACGACGTTGATATTTTCGATGACGATATGATTTGGAATTTTCAGCTTAATAAAATAAATATATGTATATTATTTCGAAAAAAAAAATCTTATACCATTATTATTATTATAATTTATTGGTAATGTTTGTGTTGATGCTTGTGTTACATTAATTGTATTAAGAATAATTGGTATTCGAATTTGTGAATCAACTGATAGATAACTATTTCGATTTTTATTTCTATTTGAACTTAAACTGCGAAAACGAGTACCAAGTATATTCATGAAATTATCTTTCGTTTTGGACCAATTCATTATAGAAGTTAATTAAATATGCGCCTTTTTGCTATCAAGATCAAAATCGTCATTTCAATCGATATCTAATCAGATTTTACTAAAGTATTCCGAGATTATATTGTAGTTTCATTACAACAAAAAAATACTAAAACTCATACAAGTTTCAGATATACGAATATACTTGTTCATAAAAAAAAGGTTAAGACTAGAATATTTCATTTGTCTCCATAAACGGCGTACCTTCAATTTTTTAGGGGACGCAATAAACTTTTAGATAAGCTTGTATAATGTATACCCCTCCACATACTGATGGGTTCCGCACATGGGTGGCGCAGCTTCAAATTTTTAGGGGACGCAGTTGTTGGCCCGTTGCTTGTTGAGGCGCCGCCCATGTTGTCTCTCTCGTAAACGTCATATTCAAGAATATTACATTTCGATACTATATGGTAAAAATAAAATAAAACTAGAAAATATCGTGACCTGAATTTTTGGTATATCCTAAGTAATTTTGATGAACTGGCCAAATAGGAGAAGTTTGGAATTGTTTATATCAATAGAAGGATAAGTAATAGAATTAATAGCTTATTTCAGAATCGCTTTAAATATAATATTGCAATCTTCATTCAATGTGTATTTTTCTGATACTCTAAAAATAAAAATATTCTTTTTTTTATTATGTCACAGGATATAGATTTCTTTGAAAAACTATCTGCCAATATAGAGACTGTTTGTAAATACTATAATTTATGATTCCTAAGCATGAATGATCATCATCATCTTCCCCCCCCCCCTTTTTTTTGAGTTATATAAAGTACATTTATTCGCCTTGACTAGGTTAAAATAACAAATGAGCTTTTAAGAAAAAAAGTAAATTATAAACCGAAATTTTATAATTTCAAAATAAAAATAACTGTGTGTTATTGGTACGATTTTTTTTTAAAATAGAAAAAATCTATATGTTATTAAGTATTGAAAAAGAAGCGTAAAAATTTTCTTTTTTTTTTTTTGTTGAAAATATATAAATCATAGGATTAATTTTCGAACATTCATATAAAAAAAAAGTGTAGTTTTTTTGATATAAATCATTAGAACGTATTTCACGTTCTTAAGTCAATTCGACATTTGTCTTCTAGCATCCTTGAGAAAAAATAAAAATTTTTAAGAGAACAAATTCTACTCTAATTTAAATTTTATTGAATAGAAAGAAGAAAAAAAAGACAAGTATTTTTCTAATAGATGTTCGATTATCCTCTGGTATATTTTTTTTATGTCTTTTATAAATATACAAAAAAGAAAACGAGAAATACTAAATTTAATAACATAAGAAATTAAGAATGATGATGTTCTGTTTCATTATTTTCAGGTTGTTTTTCCAAAGATGAATGTTTTGCCTGAATTCTATATCCTAAGGATTCCATATCTTTAGTAACAACGTTAAAAACAACTTGAACATAACCATGTGATCTGACACGCGTCACTAGAAAAAAGAAAATTTTCCTTTTTTTTAATTTCAATCTAAATAAAGTTTTACTTTCTCTGCCAGCATTTTGAGTCACAACTTTTGGATCAACAAATTCAGGTCGACGACCCATCATCCAACCTAAAAATTGTTGAAATCGAGATGATGAACGTGGAACAAATAATGGAATTCGAATACGATGTCTTAAAAAGAAATTTAAATAAAATAAATTATACTTTTATCTTTTTTTTGTTACCGTCCAGGACTTATTGGTATATGAGTTGTTCCATAACCTCGAACAATATCATTTCCAAAACTATCCAAACCATAACCACTAATAACTAATTGTGGCCCTAAACAAAAAAAATTAATGAAACTTTTAATAGAATTTTTATAGTGTATCTACAAACATCCATGTGCACATGTTGATCGAAATGTAACTTCTAATGGAAAATTAAAAACAATTTTTGATCCAATTTGAACACTTTTATGTGCAATTTGTGTTGTTCCTTCTTCCAAACCCTACATAAAAAAGAACAGTTCAATCTATTACTATATATTCAATAACTTACAGAACATATTTCCCAATCTTTTCCAATTACATAAGAAAAACGTAGATAAAGTTCATCAAAATCATTTACCTTAAAAAAAAATATGAATAAATTTAAAAATAATATTATCATTTCTAAACCTCAGCATTTTCAATAGATCCATTAATAAAAACAAGGAAACTTGTTGATTTTGTACTCATTCTTATTTCAGATGAACGAGATATTAAGGAAGAGATTATACATTCATGTTAGTTATCGTTAAGAAACAACCTCTATTAAACTATAAATATAAAAAAATCGAATTTATTTTATTGATTACATGCGACATCTATCTCTTCAATATTTATCTTTCTATATAAATATTTCCAAGTTCTATTCATAATAAATTCCTATTTCTATAAGAATATATTTTCTATCTAAAAATTCGTATCATATGAACATATAAATCTTGGTTCAAAAAAGTAAAGATTTACATTATAAAAAGTAAATAATAAGAAACGAAAATAAAACTACTTAAAAGAAACCATGTTGAAGTAAAATGAAGAAAAAAAACGAAAGTAAAAATGAAAATTTTGTGTCTTATAACAATTTTTTTTTCTTTTTGTATCAAAGAAATGATCATGAGACAAATTTTTCTATAAATTCTTAAAAAAAAACAACAAACATGTCGACTGGTGCAACGCTCAACGTTGAAAATGGAAAAACGCTTACCGATTTATTTCATAAAATTATTCGAATGACTGTTAAAACAGAAGATCGAACTGGACGATTTAAAAAAAAAACGTCTACTACAGACAATCATCAGCCAGTACTAGCTCCGCCAAGCTCTAGACGAAGTCAACGTTTAGTTAATCAACCACCACCTCGAGTAGTACCACGTCAAACTAAACGTATATCTACTGGAGTTAATCGCCCTGAAACACCAGTTACAACTGATAATATAAGTTATACACATACTGATAATGAAGAACCAGATAATTATTTTACAGATCATGTAAGATTTACACAAAATTTCTTTTTTTTTCTGTTAAGAATAAGAACAAAACGTTATCGACAAAATAACACCTCAAAGTATTACGATATTAAAATAGAAAAGAAATTCTTGTTAATGGAATGAACAAAATCAATAATAAGAAAAAAAATAGAACTTATAGCTCGAGGTTAATACTGAAATATTGAGAAGATAATTGAGCTTGAAAAACATAGAAAAAAACAAAATTTTCTATTATTCTGTTTTTTTCCAATTATTATAAATGTTCATCTCATGACTTATGCAGATAAACACGTTCATTTTGCTATGCAATTTTATCAGGTACATATATCTTCGAGATTTTCCCATCTGATAGATATAGATTACATGTTAGAATTGACTATCATATTTTATAATCATTTAGAAAAACTTATTTATTATCTTTTAAAAGAAATTAAATATAAAAGTCAATTTTGACATGTATTTATCGAATTTAGAAAATGTGTTAAAGTTAAAAGATTTGTTTTTTTTATTATTTAGTCGAACAATGTAACAAAATCTGGTGATGAATCAATACATCATAGTAGAAGTGGATTAGATCCTTATGATATGGATGCATCATTTGGTGAAATGGGATTAAGTATAACATCAAAACCATTATCAAAAGTTCAAGTTAATATTTAAAATGTGTTTTTTTTGTTCGCAAAAATTAATCGCCATATTTTTTTAGAAATTATCTGTGCAAACAGTACTTAATGAATCATTTCCACGGGTAATTGGTGATAGACAACCATCATCAACCTATCAAACAGGTAGTAGTATACGAAATGGAAAATCATCAAATCATCTATTAAATCAATCATCAAAGCATGATTCATCATTACCAACTTTTAATAATTCACTTACATCAACAACATCAGGACGATTAAATCAAACTATAATTAATCATCATCATTATCGTGGTGCTGCAGCAGCAACTGCACGAAGTTTACGTAAAGAAAAACCTCGAGATGGAAGTGTTAAATCAACTTCGAAAGAACGCGATTCCACACATAATACTAGTAATACTACTCATCATCAACAACATTTATTTCAACAACATCAACCTTATAGTACAAGTAATTCATCATTTATTGCTAATTCTTCTAATCAACATTCTTCTCGACCAAAAACTTATTTTACTGGTGTATCATATGAAACTATAAATAAATCTTCAACATATCCAATGAAACCTTCAGGTATAGTTTTCAAAATCGGAAAAAAATTATATTTATTTATATTCTAGACGCTATAATGTATCATGGTAATGAATTAACTGCATTTGAAAAAACTGAAATCTATGAATATAATGAAATTTATTTTCTTGGATTAGAAGCTGAAAAATTAATTGTAACAGATATTAAAGATTTCGATGATGAAAATGGTTCTTATATTAAAGTTAATAGAGATCATATTTATTATCGATATGAAGTATTAGAAACATTAGGTAAAGGTTCATTTGGTCTTGTTCTTCGATGTTTTGATCATAAGAAGAAAGAAGCTGTTGCATTAAAAATTATTCGAAATAAAAAACGTTTTCAACAACAAGGTCTTGTTGAAGTTAATATATTAACACATTTAAAAAACTTAGATTCGGATAATTCATTAAATATTGTTCATATTAAAGATCATTTTTATTTTCGCTCGCATCTTTGTATTACATTTGAATTACTCGGGTAAACAAAAAAAAAACAATGAAATTTTTATTTTATATTTTGAATATTTTTAGGATTAATTTATATGAATTAATACGAAAAAATAATCATCAAGGTTTTAGTATACATTTAGTCAGACGTTTTGCTACATCATTATTACAATGTCTTCGTGTTACATCTAGAGAAAAAATTATTCATTGTGATCTTAAACCGGTAAAGATTATTTTTTGAATTGAAAATTATTATTTGTTATTCTAGGAAAATATTATATTAAGACAGAAAGGAAGTAGTAGTATCAAAGTAATTGATTTTGGTTCTGGTTGTTTTCAACCACAACGAAGTTTGTTTGTTTGTTTTTTTTTTGTTTAAAATATCATTTTTTTTTCTTTAAAGTTTATACATATATTCAATCTCGATTTTATCGAGCACCAGAAATTATCTTAGGTATTCCTTATACACCAGCAATTGATATGTGGAGTTTTGGTTGTATTCTTGTTGAACTTTTTACTGGTAAGTTATTTTAGATGATGTAAATCAAAAGACAAAAGGCGAATGGGTATTTTTTGAAGAATTCTCAATAGAGAACTGCGATGAAGACATATCGATCTATTAATTGTCGGCAGGATTCTACAATCGATAGCGAAATATTTCGATGATTCTTCATCATCTCTTTTCGACATTGAAAACCGCAACTCTCGATCTTGTACCTATCGAAGTTTATTCGAAAAAAAATGCTCTCATCTATTATTCTGAAATGAGCTATAGTTAGTATGTTTTTTCAAGAAAACTAAACTCATATTAATAATCTCCGATTTAAGCTGACTTGAATTGTATGAAATTTTCAGTCCGATACCACTGCGTTTTACAAAGATATAGAGTCAAAAACCAGTACGATATCTTTAATTTTTAAGATGCAAATACTTAACAAAGACTCATAATTTTTACTATCATCCTCTTCAATTTTCTATTGAAAATAGACGTCTTTTTAAGAGGAGGAGTTGTGTTTTAAGTAACTAATCAATAACGAGAATATGATTAATCATCTTTTTTTATATCAATATTATTCTAACAGGTTATCCAGTGTTTCCCGGTGAAAATGAACAAGAACAACTTTCAATGATTATAGAAGTTATTGATTTACCACCAGCTCATGTACTTGACCAAGGAAGTCGTAGAAAATTATTCTTTGGTTTGTTTGTTTGTTTTTTTTACAAAAGAAAAATTCTTTAAATAAACTAATATTTTAGATTCCAAAGGAATTCCTCGTACAGCTTCAGCAAAAACATTAAAAAAACGTCGTCCAGCTAGTCGTCCATTAGGACAAATTCTTCGAACAACTGATAGTAATTTTATTGATTTTATTCGTCAATGTTTTGAGTTTGTTTTCTAATAAATTATTTTATTTTTCAACTCAAAAAAAACCAATTCATTTAGATGGGATCCTTTACGACGTATAACAGCCGAAGAAGGTTTACGTCATCCATGGATTATTGAATCAAAATTAAAACGTTCATCACGTGTACAACATAAACCTAAAAAAGATCATAATAATACAATAGATTCATGTAAATTATTTCTTTTTGATATTTAATTTTTATTCATTTTTTTTCTATTATAGATTTTAGTTTAAGTGAAACAACTGGTCATGAAGATACAATTCATGTTGATGAAGAAAGAAAAATACCCATTGGTGGACCTGTACTTTTTCCTCGAATTTCTAATCAATAATTATATAATCGGTGATTCCATTTAGCTCAAAAAAAAACAACAATGCAGTTTAATTTCCCATTTTTTTGTACAGAACAATAATTTTAATATTTTGTTACTTCCAGTTTTTTTCTTTTTTTTTCTAAATAATTTATAAAGAGATTTTCCAATCATTAAAATTCTTATTAAATAATGATAAAAATTTTTACTTTTTTTGTTATATTTATATTAGAATAAGTATTGATGATTAAGTGTAAATGTATATGATTGACAAATGAAATATGTTCTCTATTTGTTCTTTGACAAAGCAATGAATATTGATCTTTCATTAGAAATAAATCAATATTTGATAGAAGAAAAGAAACTATCATTTTTATTTAAAGAATAGACACACAGTCGTCTTCCTTTTTTTCTATGAGTGAACAATCAATGAGTACACATATAGAATAGAATATATATTAATGGATAGATATTATTATTATATTTTTATAATTAACTTATGTTTATTAATAGAAGGTTTATACTTTCATTTTATTATTTATCTCGATTTTCTTGTTTTGTTTAATATTTAGGCCAATTTTATTTACCAAATCAATGTTTTATGAGATTTAATAATGCATCTTTTACAAGTAGTTCTTCAGATCCAAATACTAAGTATATGAGAATGGGTTTTTTTTCGTTATTTTTTAATTTTTTTATTAGTATATTTATATGTCCATCATCTTGTTTTACAATGCAATATTTAACTAATCAACAAGAATATCCGATATTTGGTAATGAAACATATTCCGGAGTAAGTTTAAATTTGAATATAAGACTGAAAATATTTTCTTTTTTTTTAATTTGAAAAGAATTCATTGATATGTAAAGCAGCATATCATGATGGTCGTATTGCTCCATGGATTAATGATATGTCTACAATATTAATAAAAAATAGTTCATCACAATCATCAACATTTATAAGTACATTAAGAAATGGAATTCTTTCAGCTAAATTAATGGATAATTTATATATAATGTATCAGTTCATTAATAATCGAATAAATGGTTAGAAAAATAAATAAAAAGTAGTGACGGAGATGCTTTTTTTCTATGCTATTTCATCATACTTCAACTAATATTATAATGCGAAATTTTCGATAAGATTTATTTCGTTCGGGAGCGTAACCAGAGGGGAGGGTTGTGCCCCCCCCCCTGGCCAAAAACTGTTTTCCCGCTGGTGTGCACGCCCATGATTTCGCTAGCACAAGTTAAATGGTTGCGTTTTGCATCATAGTCGAATCAAAAAATGGAGCTTCGCATGATGAAATAGTATAGAAAGATAGAGACTCTACCTATTGATAAAGAAAGAAAAGTATCTCCGGCATTACTTGTAGATAACCTTTAAGTAAATAAAATAATTTTATTTAGAAACATCAATACCTGATATAGCTATTGAACATCGAAAATATCTTTATTCTCAAGATCAATCATCAAGTATAACATGTCGAAGTAAAATAGATTTAAATCCAATTCAACCAATTAATATTGATAATGGATGTATAACAAAAAAGAATATTCGATTAATAATTTTAAATCTTTAATAAAATATTTCTTTTTAAGGGAAACATTGGCAAGGAAATCGCTTAAAATATTTTGCACATCCTCAAAATTTAACGCGAGATCAAGCATTAACATTTTGTTTAAATAATAATGCTACATTAATGTATTGGTCTAATTTAACTGAACAAACAATTCTTCAAGGTTGTTAATTCATTGATTTCTATATATATATATTCTTTTCTTTTTTCGTACAAATAGAAATTCTTTCAACAACAATTTATGAATTATTTCATTATCAAATAGATTCAAATGGAAATAATCTATTAACATTTTATGTTGGTTTAAAACAAATTAATCAAATTAAACAATGGGAATCTAATGTAAAAAAATTTTCTTAAATTAATTTTTTTTAATAAATATTTTTATTAGGTTATTTCATATAATCAATCATTTCAAATAAATATAACTTCGGTAATAAATGAAGATGATGATTATTGTACTGTAATTCAATCGAATGGTTCTAATCTTCAATCAATAAAAATATATAATCATAGATGTAATGATACAAGTATATATGCATATCCACTTTGTCGTCTTTTACGTAAGTTTAAATTGAAAAAAATTATATTATTTCATTTTAATTATTTTATTAGCATCTGTATATAATAATGCAAATGATTTTATTTATCGTCTTGAAACAGATAGTCAAGAAAAAAATTTAATTGGTGTCATTGATTTTTGTTCTGAATTAGGTGGATATCCAGTTTATGCAAATAATGCCTATGAATGGCAATTAGTTCAAGGTATGATTTTTAAAGAATTGTTAAAAAGCTATTTTTCCTAATCTCTAAACTAGTATCAATAGTATTGCACAATCGGTAGTTACTTGTCGGAATGTCTCTGAATGGAGTCAAAAAAACATCTGTGGGGAAGTGGTCTCAAGTTTCTACCTCTATACATTCCTTTTATATTACAAAATATTTTTCACATTATAAATGTATTGTGTTAAGAGATCTAGAATTAAAATAATCCTAATATTTGCTTTAAATGACTAAGAATATTTTAAACATTTAAAAAGGAAACATCATATTTGATAGGTTATATATATATAAGCATCCGTAAAAAATCTGGTTAAGAATCATGAATTCTCTAGTGCGATATACAGGCAAATAAGCAGCATTCGGTTGTACTGGAAAACATATATATGAAAGAGACGAGATGCAAACGAATTGACATCAATTTTAGTTATTCATTCTAAAAGTGCATTCATTTTGTAGTATTTCTAAAATGGGGAGAAGCCTATGATTTTCAACCAGATCCTTTGAAATAAAATACTGACTATTTATTCTATACAACGAAAGTAAATTGTCAAATTATTATTTGATTTTATTCTTTTTCTTTTCATATATATATGTAAATATTATTCTATTTGTATAGAAATAATGTTAAAAGATCCAAATTTTACTGCTGATTATGTTTATACAGGTTTAATATCTGAAACAAAACAAGTAAATAATGCATATTGGATGCCAATGAATATTTCTGTATGTTTTTTTAAATTCAAAAGAAAAATAACAAAAAAAAATCTTCTTTATAGTATAATAGTACCTTAGATTATATATGGTTTGCTTCATATCGAGGTTCAGATCGTATCGGATATCATTTATCTAAAGCTCGTGATGAATCTTATTATGGATTATATGATATTAATCCGTATACAAATTTAAATACACTTCGATTTTGTCGTAAAAATGATATACAATCATTAATACAAGAATCATCATGTAATTATCATTCTTGTATATCAACATGTCGTAATATAACACTTCCGAATTATACGGATGATACAAGATTTGGTTTTTATGCTTGTATACCAAAAACAAGTTTAGTTGGTATTGTTTATACACAATCATTTCCTACAAATGGTGATTTTATTCGACCTAATCTTCCTATGGATTATAGTGTTGCACTTCGTCGAAATTATAATCAATCATTAATATTAAATTTTCAACAAATAGATCCAATACTTGGTTTATCATGTTATGAATATATAAATTTTGATCGAACATCAACATTACCAGATACAATCCCATTATCATGTGCTTCGTCAAATACAAATAATATAACAATGAGTGGAATTAGTATTAAACAAAATTTTAATACTCTTCTAACATTTGCTTTACAAGATAGAAGAATGTCTGGACATCATACAAGATTTATTGATTATCAAATTTGTAGATTTAATTAATTATAAGAAATAGAATTTTATTTTGTTTTTTTTAATAGCTGATAATCGATGTCGTTATCAAGGAATATATCATCCATATGTAAATCAATGTATTTGTGCACCGGGTTTTTATGGAAACGAATGTCAACATAGTAAGATAAAAGAAATCTATTGAAATAAATAAATTTATTTATTCATAAAGCTTGCCCACCGGGATATTATGGTCAAACTTGCGATTTTTATTGCCAAGGTGACGATGATTATTGTAAAGGTTTATTAATTTGTTTATCGGATCCTTATGGATGTTCTTGTTATACTGGTTGGTATGGAACATATTGTAATATAAGTAAGAAAATTAAGTCTTAGATTCTTATTTTCATTTTTGCTAATTGTATATAGGTTGTCCAACTAATCAATATGGACCTGATTGTTCTTACCAATGTTCTTGTGCAAATTGTAATAGATTTACAGGTGTGTGTGATTGTAATGGTACAGAATGTTATCAAGGTAATTAAAAATATTTTTTATTTAGTTAAATTGAAAAACTGTGAATGCTGAATAGATTAAATACAGCTAATAGTTCAGATACTGATTTTTCCATTTTATACTCAACAGATACTTCTTAAATTTTTTTTAAATACATAGAATTTAGTCTATTTGAAAAAACCCAACAATCATTTTTTTATTATATAAGAATGTATTGATGAATGCCACTATTTTCGATAATTACTCCTGAGATTTTTGTCTCACAGATTCAGCTTCAAACAACTAATATCAAAATTTAGACATTATATCGTTCCTAATAATTTCATATTCGAAAAAACGTGTAAAATTCTATATTTGTATGTTGAGTAATATTCATACATCCTCGTTAACTCATCTTAAATTATGGACATAGGAAATATTGTCTTCCCAAGGATATATATTTCTATTTCTAATCCTTTCCGCTAATGTTCACATTTTCAATCAATGAATTCCCATGAGTTTTTTTTTCTAGAATATAATTCCCAATTCTATCAATTGATAATATTCTCAAATAACATTACACCTTGATTACTAATACTTATAAGCTAAGATTTATAAGTATTTCTTTTTATATATTAAACGTCTAAAATTTCATTTTTTATTTTTATTTTTTTCTAAAATAAATAATCAAAATGTATAAAACAATTTTTTTCACAAAATGTTTAAGGTATGTATACTCGTCAGGAATTACAATCGAAATGTTCATCATCATCATTATCATCATCAGCATCAACAAATTTAGCATTATTAATTGTTCTACCAATACTTGGCGTAATTATTTTAATCATTATTCTTGCAATAATATTATATTGGAAAATTGTACGTTCAAAATCAAATGAAAATATTCAAGATATATCATTTCGTTCAAATACTATTAATGATGAACATCTATAATATTTTCATCGATATGATTTAAATGTTTAAAATGACATGGTGGTGATATATCACTTTTTCTTATCATACGTTTCGAAATATGATTTTTTAATATTTTATCAGTATAAAATTGATTTTGTTTTAAATATGAATAAAATCTTGTAAAAAATTTTTCATCATTTAATTCAAAACGTATCATAATCGAGGAATTATTTAATGAATGACGAAATGAAAGTGTTAAATTTGTTGGTTGAATTATATTTGATATTGATGTTATACGATCAGACCATAGAATAAAACCGGTTTTTTCATCAACAATTATTAAACGAAGTTCAGATGAACGACGAGGATTTAAACCAGTATTATATAACCATAATGGATAACCACGATGAATTAATTTCCATTGTTCTAATGAACATACTTGAAAATCAGTTAAAATAAATAAACGTACTAAACATGGTGAAACATAGACATGTGAACCAATTGATGAATAAAGTGATTCAATACGTTCAATAAGTTCATTTTTATTTCGCGGTAATGTTTTATCTTCATGTGTTTTTCCATCAATTAATTCAGAGAAACGTCTTTGAAGACGTTCTAATTCGGAACAATTCCATAGATTATTTTCTTTTTCAACTGTTAATAAAGGTTTTACTATTCCAACTTGCTTTTTTTCACGTCGTTCTATCGAATTATATACAAGTGATGGTTTTGAAGATAACAAATCATTCGGAGTTTTATTCATATCAGTATTAAATGGATCATTGGATTCATCAGATAAACATCCATCTATTAATGAACCAAAAGAAACAAAGAAAATTTTTGTAAATTAAGATATCTTCGTATAAAAACTACTAATAATATGTTAGTTTAATTTATCAAAATTGCATTATTTTTAAGACTCTTATATTCATTTAATAAGATTTTATTTTGATTGATTAAACTTACTTGTTTGTTGATTTTGTCTCAGACGTGGTGGTTGTTTTAATTGTTCTCGTCTTTTTAATGGTTCACTTTTCATATGTGAATTAAAACGAGTAGCTGGTGTCCAAATGATTTGTTTTCCATCAATAGATGTTGTATTATGTTTCGATAAAATATTACTTTTTACTTCTTCCATTTTAAACAATCTTTGATTATAGAAAGAAAAAAAAAAAGAGAAATGATGTAAGAGCAAAGTTTGCATGTTTGAAAAAAGAAAATGAAGGACAGTGTCATTATTTCGGTACTCATATATAATAATTTTACGTTTTAAGAGTGTAAAGAAGCTGCTTTTCATCGTCCTTGTTCAATCACAAAGTGTACGTATGAAGTGCGATATGCAAAAGAAAAAAGAGAAAGGGAGAGAGAGAAATGGAGAAAGAAGAAATGTGATGAAAATGGCTCCTTCCTTTTCTTCTTCTTCTTCTTTCTCGTTCATGCTAGTTGTGTTAATCCTCTTTATAAGCAAACAAGATCGAACGATTAAAGAACAAAGTAGATCATTATATAATCGACTTTGTCAATTGAATCTAGTTGGCGTTTTATTTTTAACTTGCCGCATGTCAATCGTATTTAAATAATTTTATTCGATTAATTTTATATCTATTTACATAGATCAATAAATCAAAATTTTTCAAGATTTTATTATTATTATTATTATATATAACTAAAGGCTATTAAATATTGATATGTTATATCAAATTGAATAAATAGATATCAATATGTTGCTAAGAGAGTATTGAGGCTATCAAGTATTTGTGATTAGTTCAGTAAACAATTGAATTTAATTGGTGATGGGAATAAAAAAAAGACTTATTTGTTTAGTTAGTAATGATGTTTAAATGTATCAATGAGGAAAAAAAGAGCATATGCTGATAAATATAATCTGCGTGACAGAACGTTGATTATTTCTTATGCGTGGATATGTTATCTAATGTCAGTCTAGATTAAAAGGTCGTTTATCGAACAGTATAAACAGAATAAAAGGAAATAGATTTGATCACTATTGACCGATAAATGACACAATACATCTACTTACATGTTCAAGGATTAACGAAAGATGTCAGTTTTTATAAGTTCTTTTTTTTTTTTTGTTCATAACAGATTTTCTGTTCATTGTCATTTGATTAACAATAGAAAAAAAAGAAAGTTATTCTCATGGCTAAATGATGATGACGAGAGAAATATTATTTGGAGAACATAAAAAGAATATAAGTTGATGAAAGATTTCTTTGTATTCTCAAAGGACTAGATAAATTCTATTATCGAGAAAAAAATTTTTTTTTCTCTTCTCCTTCAATAAGCGATCGAGAAAGAAACATTTTGTAAATTAAATTTAAATTAATTTGATTAACAATCAATTGAATAGGAGAAAGAACATTGAGATCTTATCATCCTCTAATGATTTATTTCGGAAAGATAACCTTCTAATGTCAGTTAAACAAGAGAATATATTTAACTGTTTAAAATGGACGATATAGTCATATAAAAAAAAGTCTATCAATGTAATAATATACATTGAGATTTATTGAGTTGAATATAATATAATAAAAGTTTTTTTTGTCCTTCAATAAACTTCATGTCTTCAATTTACAAGTTGAATATGAGAATGATTGAATTTTTATGATTTTTTTTCTGCTAGCACAAGAACATATATATCGTGTAATCATAATAAATTCATTGAATATCCTGTTTAAATAATAATCATTGAAAAAGAAAATAATGATGATAGAAAAATAGTTGCTTCTATTAATTAAATCAGTACATCGCCATTTGACACTCGACTGGAAACATTTTTGTATGCATACAAACCTTGAAGTACGCTCTGTCTGATAGCATGACAACGACGAGCTTTTTCTAGCAGGAAGCAGCCGAATATAATCACCGGTTTTGCTTATAGATTACATTCCATCGTTAGTAAGACACAGTTACTATAATAATAATATATCAATATTAAATAAGTTTCATATGTCAAAATCTTAAAGATAAAATTTCAATTTATTGTTGGATGTTAATAATGAGAAAAATGTTCTTTACTTTGTTAAACAAATCATTATAGTTTGCATGTTGTAAAATAATTCTCAATATATGTAATGTCATGATTTTCATAACAATATTTTGACAAGACGATGAACGATTCAAATAAGTTTGTACTTTGATAATTCAATAGAAAATATCGATTTGATCACAATTCTGCAAATTCATAGAGTCAATTGTTTAAAAAACTTGCGAGAGAAACAAGGTGGGTATAGTAATTAGAAGCTAAACCTTTCTTGAACGTTCCCGACAATTAGTACATTGATGAGAGACATACTCTTGTTCTAAGAATTTTATATGAAATTCTATGTAGTTTTTCGTCTTATATTTTTTTGATCTAATAATTTTGATGTATTGGAATCAACTGTAAGGTTCTTCATTTTATTTTTGTGAACTTTTACTATTACGACGTTTCGATATTATTTCAAATGAGAATAATAATGATGACAACATTAAATATTTATTTTTATCTTTCCTATCATAATGCACGAAAAAAAACCCAAAGTCGATATGTTAACATAAGTAAAGTAGAAAATGTTGGCGGCTAGATTTTCAAGTTGAAAGAATATATGCAAATAATGTAATCTACGAAAGCACCTTAGATTTTATAAAATATCTGATGACGAAAAATAGCATAAAAATTTACTATGACGTAAACTTTTTTTTGCTTCTTCGGATATAGTTGGATATTAGTTAATATTAGAACAAGCAGATGCAATGGGACAACTTTAATATAGAGATTTAATTAAATGTGCAATATAATCAATTAAACTTGACTTATTTTTTTTATTCAAGATTGAATCTCATTTGTTTTTGAAAGAAAAATCTCTTTGTGTGTTTGAAATAAATTCAACTCAGATTTCTTATTGATGATATAGAAGAATGCTTGTGACACAAGAGCTTTAATAATAATAAAAATAGTTGATAATTAAACTTTTTATTTAATATAAACAATTAAAATCAGCTGACATATGGCGAAAAGAACAATTAACTAATAAAGGAGTAACTATAGTTTTCGGATCATACAGAGATCATCGAAAGTAAACCAAGTAAATACACTCGTCTAGGAGTTAAAACATCTACTTGACGGGCCAGCCAATATAAAAAAATTCTATTTCGCGCCATTTTACTTCTGTAATGGAATAGTAGAATTTCATTGCATCGCTGTATGTCATGTTATTCAGGAAGGTGTCCCCCATTAAAAGGCATAGCATATCGATTGAAGTCGGATAATCGTATCGTGTAAATCGGGTGAGTCTATTGAATCGTATAAATCGTGAAACTCGCGTGTGTCGAGTATATGTGAAAAACTGGATGGCGGAGCAAGGTATGGTACATTGCGATCATAAAAATGGTGACTAATAGGAGGGTACGCAGGATTCACAAGATGATCATATATGCGATCATCAACATCGTTGTGGTACTCTTCGGTATCGATATTGTTAGGAATAGCCAATAAATCAGGTAAATGCGACATTATCAGTAGCAACAAATAATATAATCGAGAAAAAAATGTGTTTTTTTTTGTATGTTGGTCTTTCGAATAAGTTGACCGAGATGAAGAGTATGAAAAATTACTTTTTCGCTAGACCTATACAATAAGTAACGCTCGTCCGGTGACTAGCTTAGCTCTTTCTCATAGAAATGCATCCCCTTCACATTTACTGGCAAAACAATTGAAAACAGTGCTCTCCTTTGTTGTTCATGGCTCTTAGCACATACTCGCATCCTACTCAGTGATAAACATAGATCAAAACATATTTAAGCTGCCGGCACCCGTGGCTTCTCGAAATAGCCTTTAACGAATAAGTGAAGTGTTAGTAGTTTTATACGCAAGAGTTGCCAGCAAGCAAGGAAACATTCGAATACCCTTAAAAATCCATTACTCAAAAACTCGATTTCTATCAGTCCACGTCACTTCTTCCAATTGATACCTCGCTCCTTCAGTCGCTTGAAAAAATGAGGCACACACATGATGCCTCCGCATCGAAATACCTCTAGAAATGTCTTTTCCAGAAAATTAGTTTTCGATGTTTTTTTTTGACCCTGCAGACATACAAGCAAGCAAGCAATCAGACAATTTATGTTTACTGGACTCCCCAGGGCAAAGACAACGGCAATGTAAACGGCTTTAAATGTGGCAAACCGGTAAAATACGGCGAAAAACGGTCCTAAAACGTCGATCCAGAAATGTATAGAAATAAGGGGGAAAACGACGGCCGATTTCTAGTGAAAAAACGGCCCGTATTCTGGGTTGACGGATTACGGTGAAATACGAGTAAAAATAAAGCAGTAAACGCTGTTTTAGGCCGTCTAAGATGTCGTTTCCGATGTTCGGAATGATCGTCCTGGGTCTTCTCTACGAGAAAGAGAATATGTATATGTGCATACACATCTTCCTCAAATAGAATTGTTTTTAGATACAAAATGTCGGACAAAATACAATTTTTAGCAGAAGTTGTTCAAACGCATTTTAATGTAAGAATAATGTTCTAAATTATTTTTAAAAACAAATTTTCTTTTAGGTAACGGAGTTACACGATTTGAAAGAAACGATTGTAGCACGTTTGAATCGATTCGAGGAAATTGAAGCTCAAGGATCAATAATCGACATGGTTGAAAAACAATCTGAAGCTGCTGTAAAAAAGAGCAAACTCATCGATGATATATTACAATTTCTTGACGAATAATGTTATTAGTCCTTGTAATCGTTCTCTTTTAGTTTTCTATTATGTTATTTCTTCTTTGTAACCATTATCTTAGTTTTATAAAGTACATAGGGACTATTATGAACAAACTTTTTTTAATTTCACTTTAAAGTTTAACAATACATATCCTTTTTTTTTGGTTTATACTTCGACATACATCAATATATAGTGCATAATATGTATTTTTCAAAAATATTCTTTTTAATAATACCAAACGATCTAGCAAAGCATATCCAGTTAGGACATGGCGAAATAACAAAAAGATGAGTTTGTTATTTATGTGGAAAGTATTGTTTCTTTCTAGTCTTAATTTATTTTCTCGCAGTTTTATCTACAGTGAAAGCAAAAAATTGAACTTTAAAAGAAGAGATTGTATATCAATTATAGTTTCTTCAGTTGCATTTGATAGTATATTTTGATTGTTAATATAAAGTTAATAATGATTTGACAAAAAAACAAATATTATCAAAAATTTCGCATTAAAATATAGGTTGAAGTAGGATGAAATAAAATAGAATCATCGAATGAAAGATCATCTATCTATTTATCAAAAATTCAATATTTTTTGAAAAACTTTTTATAAGAAATAACAGTACTTTTATCATTACTTTTGGATAATCGTTGGTAGATACTGGTTCCGATCATAATCATAATTTAGAATAATAGAAATGTATAGATAGATATGTAATAGATGAAGAAATAATTTCATAAAAATTTAATTTTCGACAATGTAATAGATTTATATAATTTGGAAAATGTCGATGTATGAAAATAAATATATTCTATTTTAAAACATAAGAATTTTTTATAATTTATATATGACATAACAAATCTCTTGTTTAACAAGATGATAATACGCTAACTGAGGTCACACTTAAGAAATTCTGAAAATATTAATTCTATTGAACAGTTCATTTTGAATTAGTCTAGTCCGTTTGTTACATTCTTTATTGAATAACATGACGGCGTCGAATATTTATTCCTTATTATTCTTATAGACAATACTGAGAGAATATAAATATATGGTCATAGGAATAAATTGTATTAATTCGATATGAAGAATTATCTCAATATTTTGGATATACCTGATGAAATCTTATTTCTTATTTTCCAAAGATTGAATGCAGTTGAAGTTTTTTCTTCACTTGAAGATGTTAATCAACGATTTCATCGATTAGCATTTGATCCTCTTCTCATTCGCAATCTTAATATGACAACAATAACGAACATCAATTCATTCTACGATCAAAATTCTTTAATGGATTCAAAAGTTCTTTCAAGAATTTATAAAAATATCTTACCTCAAATTCATTCACAAGTACATAAACTCACTGTTGAACAAGATTTAATGAAAGAAATTCTTCATGCTGGTACTTATCCTCAACTTTATTCTTTATCATTGATTAATTGTGAAGGAGAAATACTTTATCAATATTTATCAGGTATAGAATTTGATTTTATTCTTTAGATTTAACATTGAAATAATTTTTTTAATTTAAGACGATTTAGTTCTTCGTGATCTTTTGACTAAACAAATAACACATCTTAATATTGATATGAAAATGCCAGAAGGATCAGACTCGGAAACAATGTCAAAGATTTTTCAATTAATCTTATCTTTATGTAAAAATTTAATTTCATTAAATTTTTGTGATATGTATCCAACAAGAAGTTGTTTCAATCATCTTCGTTATTTATTCCAAGAAAGTTATATGCCTTCTAGTTTAAACAAATTAAAAATTAATCTTCCGGTTTTAACTTATTATCTTTATTTGCTTGATGGACCTCTTGTTTCTTTGTCAACATTAATTATTAATGTAACATCTATTTTTCATCCTGAAATGTTAGAACCTATTGATCCAACTGTAAGTACAATTTCAATAATCATATTTAGAGAAAAAAAAAACATGCAAATAAATATTAATACTTTTTCTTTTTAGAAAAAACTTCCAAATTTGAAATATTTCTCATTCACATCGTTTGGTTATACATTTGAATATGATAATTTAATAGTTCCATTACTTTGTCGAATGACAAATCTTGAAGAATTGCAATTGTATCTAAGCGTAGGAAGATTCTATCCAAGTTTGATTGATGGAAATCAATTATATGATCAATTTCTTATTTATATGACACTATTAAGAAAATTTACATTTTATATAAAGACATGGGTCACTTTTGACACCATTACAAATGAAATTCCAACAAGTGAAGATATTCAACGTACTTTTATTGGAAGAATAGATGAACCAGTAGCTGCGTATGTATATATGAAGTCATATCCACGTCCGCGTGATTGTGTTTGTCATGTTTATACACTTCCATATGACTTCGAATATTTTACTGACCTCAATAACTCTTTTCAAGGTGGTATGTTCGAGAAGGTTCGACGATTGGAAATGTGGGATACGAATCCTTTCGAATACAAATTATTTAAAATCATCTCACAAGACTTTCCTTTTCTCGAATTTTTGTATATAGCTAATGATTGTTCACAAAAAGAAAATCAACATTCATCAACAACAATTAGATTTCCTAATTTGACACTTTTAGATCTGAGATATGCACATGTTGACTATGCGAAACTATTTCTCTTCAAACAAAATATCAATCTGCCTCGTTTGATCAATCTTACCATCAAATATAAATCACTCGTGACAATCACAGATAGTTTTACAAAAAGTGCAACGTTGTTTAATTTTGATAAGTTGAAAAGTCTTGATGTATGTGAACTATTTGTTGGTTCAAAATACTTTCATGATTATTTTCCTTTATTATAATTTGTTTGAATAAATGAAGAAAAATGAAATGTAAAAACAATCTAACATTTATTAATGTTATTCCATTCATTTCATTTTTCTACAAGCGTATTTGCAAATCTTAAATATTGAAGGTGTGTATGTGAGAGTGAGTGCACATTTCTTCTTCATCGACGGCGTCACCCACACCCACCCTTAGACATTGGTGATAATATTTATATACAAATATGAAGATTATAATAACAAAATATACAATAATGTATATAAATTTAGATATGCATATCTTTTGATTTGTTTTATTTGATGTACACTATACTTTATCAATTGTGGTTAGTTTACTACGATTTAAATTCGAAAGATAATGACTATATATGACCTTTATTTTTATCTTATCATTCGAGTAAAGTACAATAAATAAATTCGATTGATTTAATTTCTTTTCATTCATCGAATACTCAAAAGGATTTATTTCGTTTAATAATAAAACGTAAATAAAATCTTGTTTTTTTCTATTCAAAATAATTACGATATTTTTTTTTGTTTAGAATTATCTAAATGTTAGTATCACGTGTATTAATTTATTTTCTGGTAATATTATTAATAATTAGTTATTATTGTGAAGCACAACAAGAAATACGTAAAGCTGTACGAGCAAAAACTGATAGAAAAATAAAAGAAGCAAACAAAAAAATAAAAGAAGCAAATAAAGCAATTGAACAAGAAAAACAAGCTGTTAGACGTATTAAAAATCAAGCAAAAGCACCGTTTAAAAAAGTAAATGCAAAAGTAAATAAAAAAGTTCAAAATGCAAATCGAAAAATACAAGCAATTGAAGCAGTTATAAATTCATAAATTTTATTTTTAACCATTAAAAGTTTTTTTTGTGTAATTTTCCACTAATTATTCAAGCTATTTATAAATAAAAAATTGAAAAATTAAACGTAATCATAATTGAAAAGGGAATACATATATAAAGAGATTCTGCAGATATGTTGATTCTAAAATTTTATTTAATAAATACTTTATGAAAATTCAAACCGATTGATTTCAATTTTTATAGAAATTATTTTATTTATTCAACAAATTGTTAAAACAATACTGTTTATTTCATAGAATATTATATGTTCACAGTGTAGATATATAAAGAACTAACGGTAGTAACACGAGGTTGTATCGATACAAATAATAAACGAAAATAAATATATGTGCGTTTATATTTTCTCTTTCGTTCCTTTTCTTTTACTTTATTCGAGCCACGTGCAGAAAAAAGGCCTCTATTTTACCTTGTTATGTGATAAATTATAAAAAAAAGTATATTTTTGTTGAATATAAAATATCATTAATTCAATTGTTTATTTGAAGACTATTTGTGAAAGAAATATAAATTTATTTCTGTTTTTAATATCCTATAATCGAAAATAGTAGACAATTAACCCTCAAGCGCCCACCTGGGGTCCACGCGGACCCCAACTAGTTTCATTCTAATGTTTTACATATACGATCGCAGATCATGTCACACCACTCTAGATATGCTCTAGTGCAGAGTAGTAGAGTATACCATAGAAAGCATTCGCTTATCTCCTTTAGTCTTCTATAAGATAAATTACCTTAAAGTACATGTATACGCATTTTGCCAACCTGGGGTCCAACCGGATCCCATGATATAACATTAGTTTCTGCTTATTATTTGATTATAAATTTTTCGTTTTCATAGTTTATACATTTGTCCGCACATATGAAAGTATTCTGTAGCTATCTAATAAATTGTAAAGCATGTCAATGACTTTCTTTTTCAACATACTTGATGTTGGTACTCTTGCTACTTTTGTGGTATGGGCAACCAGAAACTCTCAATGGAATGAAAAGAAAAACTATCGTCGATGTCTATTTCTAATGGAATTAGGTCATGATCTTGTTCAATCGCATTTGGATCGATGACGATATCAACTGCAGGCACCTCAAAAGAACGTTCGAATAGCTATGCAGGCAATTGGACTAACAATAACTACTTCACAACCAACTATTGTTTCAACAGCTACTGTCAAGCAACGTTGTCATCTTTGTCCAAGAGAGCGTGATCGAAAGGTTATTACTCACTGTTCAAGTTGCAATGCTCCCTGTTGTTCAGATCATCACATAGTTGTTTGCACGTTTTGTAGCGAAACATTTTTAGGATAAAAACGGATTATAAGAAAATGTTTTAAAAATAAAACATAAAATAACGAAATATAGTTTCTCTTTCATAAGCTACTAAGTCTGTAAGAGGCAAACTATATACCACATAATGCTATCATAGTATACTAGTTAAAACGCGTATTATATCTATCTTATTAGCTTGGGGTCCATGCGGACCCCAGGTGGGTAATAAGTGGTAGTCTTACAGGTGGGCGCTTGAGGGTTAAGAAAATGTTCTTTTGTAATATTAATCTTAAATTATAACTACGTTTTCATAAATCGATTCATACTGTCCATATTGTATTGATTATTATTTATATTATGTAGTTCAAGTACAATATTTATTTTATCACAATACATATCTAGTACACGTAATATTTGAAAAATTACTTTTATTTTGAAACACAATGTCTGTTGAATTAAACAAGATTAATTTTTTTCGATATGAATTTCCTAGATCGTTACTGATTGGAATTTATATTTAATAAATACTTAAATAATTCAAAGTCATTCTAGCTAATTGTTTATTCAAAAACTGTTGTAATTATTAAAGAAATATTCTTTAATCAAATATAATGCTTAACAAAATATATCCGTCTAAGAATAGGATCATTATCATACACCGATTCTTTACATTGCGTCGTACCTTTAGTATACAAACAAAAATATAATTAGAAAAGGTGAGTCTTACGATACGGTGATTTATTAGATTTCATTGTGAACAATTTAGTTTGTTTCTCTCAAAAATAGAGCTGCAAACATTTCCAGGATGTTTTATTACTTTTGTATAATTTTCTACAAAAACAAACATTCCCGAGTGTGAGTGTAGGACTGAACAAAAAGAGTAGACAGGCACACTCACCCACATCCGCACACAAACTATCACACAACACCGACACCCACAACCACACCTACCGCAACACCTCCATCCATCCGTACCTGAAACCACATTCACGCCGACACCTACCCCCACGTCCTCACCGGCGTCCACACCCATCACCACAATTAAGATAACAGGCGAACCTAAAGCATGAGTCGAAGAATATGTGTATCAACCCTATCATGGTACCCCACAAACCCTACAATAAAAACAATCAATATATCACTCAAACTTTAGATAGGAGACTAAAAATATGTGAATTCACTTTTCCATAGTTCTCCATATATCCTTTCATCACCACACTCAGTATATCGTTTTCAATTCAAGTACGACACTAGTGATATGTAAATTCGCTATTTTACAAGTTTTCCATATATTCCACTAGCATCACAGCCAGGATATCATTCCAGCTTCAAGCATGACACAACCAATATGTGAATTCACTCTATCGTGCGCTTCGGTATACTCTGCGATCAACAAATTCATCATCTCATTCTCACTTCAAGTAGGCGACAAAGCGTAGACGACAAAGCGTATGCGAATTCATCCTGTTATGATTCTCCTCCACATATTCCAAACTCGACACAATCATAATAACATTCGAGCTTCAAGCATGAGAGAAGAAATATATGAATTAATCGTAACTTAATGCGCCATGTACTTCACAATCTCTAGAGCCATGATATATGTTTGTAACTTCAAGCGTCACACAGACAATTTACGAATTTACGTTACCGTAGTTCTTCATATACTCCACAATCACCACAACCCTCATATCAGTT